AGTCACACAGCAGGAGTAGGTTGTCCTGGATGGTCCTGCCCAGCACACAGTAGCTCTGCTTGGGCCCAATGACAGAGGCCATGACAGCGTGGAGTCAGTTTGCCAGTGCCTTCGCAAAGATCTTATAGTCAGCGCACAGAATGGAGATGGGCTGCCAGTTCTTAAGGCAGCCAAGTTCCCCCCTCTTAGGCAGCAAGGTGAGCACCACCCGGCGGCAGCTGGTCGGCAGGGTCCCGTCGGTGAGGTTCTCGTGGAAGATGCGGAGGAGGCTGGGCCCAAGGAGGGGCTAGAAGGCTGTGTAAAATTCCACGGGCAGTCCGTCAAGGTCCAGGGCCCTGCCTGAGGCAAGCCCCCTACAGCAGCCTCTAGCTCTGCCAGGCAGAGTTTGCATTCCAGGGCCTTGATCTGCGAAGCGCAGAGGTGCAGCAAGTCCTTATGCAGCTGCTGAGTGGCCTCCAGGCAAATGGGGTCAGCTGCAAACAAGTCCTGGTAGAAGGTGACGGCATGTTCCCGCACTTCACCCGGGTCCATGAGCAGCCGTCCCTCTGGGGTCTTGAGATGGTCCAAGATCTTTGCCACAGCCCGCCGCCTCTCCAAGCCGAAGAAGAAGCCAGTCACGGCATCAGCCTCTGCCAGCTCCTGGCAGCGGGTACACGGCCTTGCACTTTGAACCACGTCCTCCGCCAGCTCCCATAGGCATTTATTGCAGGACTGGAGGCTCTCGAGGAGCACTGTGTTGTTGCCGGCATGGAGCAGGGCTGCCTCAAACTCAGCTCCTGGATGCGGCGGCGGATCTCGCTTGCCGCCAGCTGGGAATACTGCTGGCAGAACACCCGAACCTAGATCTTCCCCATGTCTCACCACAGCCGCCAGGAGGAGTAGTCTGCTCGTGCATCCTTCCAGCTCCTCCAGAGGTGGACAAAGCAGTCCCAGAAATGGGCATCCTGTAGCAGGCTGATGCTGAGGCACCAGTAAGGGTCCCGCTTGCATGCCCTGCCAGGCAGGCTCAGTTCAGAGCAGACCAGGGCATGGTCCAGGAGGCCTGATGGGATGATGCAGCTGCTGTGCAGTAAAGGCAGATGGTGCTGGGTGATGTAGAGGTGGTCGAGGTGCGCCATGGTGATCCTAGTGGTACTCATCTTTGCCCAGGTGTATTGGCACGTGTCAGCATGGAGGAACCACCAGGCATCGATGAGATCCGCTGCTTCCAGCATGGTCCGCAGCTTGCAGGCCAAAGGCAGGTGCGGTTCTGGCCCCATCTGGTCTGGCAGTGTATCGACGGTGCAGTTGAAAGCCCCACCCATGAGGAGCAGGTCATCGCTTTCACTGACATCACGCAGTAGATTGCCCAGGGTCTATAAGAAGGCTACCCTCTCCCTCCCCTCAGTGGGCACATAGACATTTACAAGAAGCAGGCTCTGGCGTGTCAAGGTGATGCGGGTGGTCAGCAGCCAGCTGGGAACAACCTCCTATGCCACCACCGAGTCGTACTGCAGCTGTGGTGACGGGAGGGCTGCCACCTCAGCACTGAAGTTGGTACCATGGTTCAGAAAGAGGCAGCCTCTCCAGGCAGCGTACCAGTCGGCTTGATCATACACATTGCTGTGCGTCTCCTGGAGGAAGGCGATAACCAGCTGCTTCTGCCACAAACCCTCCAGGATGGCTGTCCGCTTCACCAGGTCCCTGCAGCCATTGGTATTCAGCAAGGCAATTGTGGTAACAGGCACGAGCAGGAGAAGAGAGAGGAAGGATAGGCAGGGTATAGGTGGGAGAGCAGGTGATAGAGTAAGGCAAAACTACAGACACAGGGGAAGGCCTATCCTTGCCCTATTCTATTCTGTGGACCCGCCCCAGCCCCACACCTACCTCACCCAGGTCACCAGCTTCTCAAGCCAGAAGGCATGTTAACGCGTGCCTGGGTCCTGGCACATGAGCCTTGCTGTGTCACTGGCAGCACGAGCAAACTGCAAACTGCACAGGGTCCAGGCACCACTGCTGGATACTTTCCACCATGTTCCTCTGGCCCTTGGTCTGCTCTAAGAGGTCAAGGAGGCCTCCGTAGCTGGGGGCCACCCGGGGGGGTTCTCCAGCAGGAGCTGGATGTCCCTGACCGAGAACCAGGAGGGGACCTACATGTGAGTCTGGTGAAAGTGCCCTCGATGGCCAGGTTCCCTAGCTGGCCCCCCATAGCATCCAGGTCGAGGACTGTCTCTGGGAGATCAATCCCCGTATGCTTTGGGGGGCAAATGTCATCCCACTCCTGGGGCCGCTTGTGGCGCTCAGAGGGCAGGCACTGCATCTCCTCAGCTCCTCCCACAGGGGCTGCTACAGGAGGAGGAGAAAAAAAAAAGCCTCAGATTGAAGCTGGGGACTGGGAGGGAGCTGAAACAGCCCCAAAATCGGCCCCAGGGGGCAGAATAGCCCTGGAGGAGCTGAAGGCAAGCACTAAGACAGAAGGAGGTGGCAGAGACCAGGGTAACGGGCTGTGGAGGAGGGAGGCAGTAGGGAATCAAAGGGAGAGCACAGGTGGGGGTGGGGGAGGAGCAGAGGCAAGCAATGGTGCCAGAGCCCAGGGAAAAAAAGCTCAGAAAACGGAAAAGGGGCAGAGAGGGGGTCCGCAAGCACAGGCTGGGAAGAGGCAAGGTTTAGGGGGGTTGGGGACAGGGAGCAGGGTGGGGCACATGCAAAAGGGACCTGAGCTGGAGGAGTTCAGAAGGGCATCACCTGTCGGCAGCCATCTTGAAAGAAAGAAAGGGAAGGTTATCAAAGCATGTTTTGTGTTTAGCAAGGGAAATATCTGTAGCTAATGAACTGATTGTTTCTGGTCCCTGTAACAAGATTATAGAACTAGTAGGTCTTATCTGCTCACGCCTCATTTTTATTCATAGCTTGGAAGAGGAAAATAACCTTTCCTAGATTCTTAAACTCCCACTTAGTTTGTTTAACTTTGAATTAACTGCTTACTGATTTGTGCTCTCTTCACCTGCAGAAAAGGCTACTGATTTATAGACTGTAAGGCTGAAAGGGACCTCATAAGATCATTGAGTTCAGCCTCCTGCACCAGAAAGGAAAGATAACTGGGGTCAGGTAACCTTATCAAGGTGATTGTTCAGTCTTTTCTTGAAGATTTAATATCCTGTTGATATCAAAATCTGGTTTAAGACTTCAACAGACTCATTGTAGGTGGCCAGCCAATGACTTTTGCTTGTTCACTGATGTTATTTTGCTTAAGATTTTAGCAGCAAACGTATACCATTTGTATTTTTAAGTTAAATTATTTTGATAAAGTATAATAAGCTTAGGCTTTAACATGAGTTATCATAATCTCAAATTTAATATTAAATGGTTGTATTTAAAAAAGAAAAATGTATTAAATTTAAATAAAAATCAAAGCTATTATTTTCAACCCTTCATATTTATTCAGCTTGCACACTAAAGTTTTCAAGTTTTCATTCTCCACATCTCAAGGACTTTTCTGGTTAGAAAATATTTTATGCAATGTATTGGTTACTTCTGAATCATGTTTCCTGTTCAACTTTAAAACCATAATTTTCTTATACCATTTTTAGACAAACAGCAATGTTTATTTGATGCTATAACTGGTTACTAATAGAAAGCATCATTTGAGAATTTCAGCTCCTGTTAAATCCTAGTGGAACTAAAGGGATGTCTTGGGGGAGATGGGGGAAATCTGAATAAAAGGAGAATTAACACTTTAAGCATATTCAGAAAATTTCTTGCCACAGTGCCAAAAATTCAGTATAAGCACAATGTTGGGTAAAAGTATAATCCAGCCATATGGATATTATCATACAGCATATCTATGAGCTAAAGATGCCACTAAGACCATCCCTTGAAGGTTTGGAGCAAGTGAAGGGTGATAGCAACCCAGTGGCTGAAAGAGGGGTCCCTCTACTTTCAACAGATTAAGGAAAAGGAGGATATATTCCTTTGAGGTGAAACCAACCCAGGCTCATAAGGCTGTATGTTATTACTGTTGTATGGTTATATGTTCTCTTATGCTGACTCCCTCTCACTTCTAACTTTGTGCTTTCATATAATCAGAAGTGTGGTGGCAGAGTTGTTAAAGTGTCTTGTAAGAGTTCATGCCTTAATTTGGATTTGTGTGGAAGGTTGCTCCCAGTCAACCTGTCTATGAATGAGCACCTGGTCATCCGGGCTGGAAACTTGAAGGTGTCTAAACATGATGGTGGCCCCTTCATGCCCTAATGGAGTGGTTGTCATCCAGGGGTATGCGTACCCCTAGGGGTACTTAAAAGGGTCGTAGGGGGTATGTAGATCTCTGAGCAGTATGCAGGCAGCCAGGAGTGCAGCCTGGCCACGTGGAGAGCAGCTGGGTTTGTTGTTGGGGGAGGGAGTGAGGCTGGGTCTGCCCAGCTGGGGCAGTGTGCGGGAGCTGCACAGGGAGAAGGGACTCCCAACACTACATGCACCCCAGGAGGGGGGGCTGTGCCCCCAGATCTGCGCGCAGGTCAGGGCAGGGTGGCCTGGGCTGGGGCTGGGGCCATACCGGGCTGCAATCAAGGTGGATGGTGGCAGCTCTGGAAGGGGGATGGGAGGGCTACAGCAAATTCGTGGGGATCTCATTGGGGCTGGAGGGTGTTGCTTGGAGCCAGGAACAGCCCAGTGGGGCTAAGAGGAGCCCCTGGGCAGGCAGAGAGCTACCTCTTCCCTTGGTTGAGCCCGGTCTGAGCATATGGGCCCCAGGGGCTGTGCATAGCAGGGTCTGCCCTGAGTGTGGAGCCTAGGCCTCGTCCCCAGGTGGGCAGTGGAGGCTTGGCTTGGGCACAGCCTGATTACACCCTGGTCCCCCTGTCCACACCACTGATCAGCAGATAGTGCTTAGGGATCGTTAAAACACAATTAACTCTTAAATGGAATGTGAAATATGAACACAGACAACTCAGTGTCCTAAAATCAAAGTCCAACAGGTATTGTCTCAGCAGTTTCTATATTCAGAGAGAGAAAAAATACTTAGTACAATGATCTCACCCAATCCCAGATGTTACTTTGCTAACAGAAAAGATGGCCACTCAGTTCCTGAAGCAAAGGGTTGGCTGGGATGATCCAGACAGGTGTTGAAAGCTGGATTCATGATGTAAATGATGATGACAACGACACTTAACTTTCTTGCTTTCCCCTTTTATACTTTCTTATACTTTTCTTTAACTTGACTTCTTTGATGACTCCCTGCTTTTGGATCAGTCTTTCTGCCATCAGCATATTGTTCATATTTTATCCTGTCAGCATATTCCTTTGTTCAACATCCCCATTACGAGCACACCTCCTAATTTGGCCTTTTTCCAGTGTCTTACTTTAAGCTTTGTCCGTTGGTCTCCTTTATCACCTTTCATTAACATATTCAATCATTTCATCCCTCTAATTCAGCTGGTTAGTGCCAAGTTCAGTTAATTTGAGCTAGTAACAAAACTATTACTATGTTGTGTTAGAAAAACTCCTCACAGTGATAGAAAAAGGAAAGAAACATCATGTGAGCAAACTCAAGGCCATAAGCTGCTTGCAAGAAACAAGGCCAGCTGATATTGCAAACACCAGCAAACTGAAAAATTCAGATAACAATGAGGGTATACAGAACTTTAGGCTGACTATAAAAGAAAATTTTAAACAATGCTATAATTCACCACTCTATAAACAGGTGCAACTTGGTCCATATGTGCCTTGGTCCATATGTGCCTGTGGGGGCTGGAGGGGAAGAAGTGGTGGTGCCGTCTAGTGGAGGGGTCCTGGGGCAGAGGCTGGGCTCGGGGGCAGCTCCTGCCAACACACTCCAGCCCCAGCAGGTCCCACAGCTGTGGGCAGAGTGCGGGGCAGAGCTGGGAGTGGCGGAAGCGGAGACTCTACTTTGGCCCATGCAGGGAGTGGGGCCCGGCGCTGTGGCATGTGGGGCAGCACCGGTCACATCTGGGCAGGGCAGAGGCAGGTTGCCACTGTGACAATATGCACGGATCTCAGAAGCAAAACCAGCAGCAGCAGCAGAAAGGAGTCCAAAGGCAGAACAGGAAGTGAGGGGGAGGAAACAGGAAAATCAAGAGAGAGAGGCTGGGGAAGAACAGTAGGCCTTATAACAGCTCTGTAAGAAACTGTTAATATCAAGTAGGGAGTTGTTCCTTGATTACCCATACAGGGTCACATGAAACATGGTGGCAGCAGAAAGTCTGTGAGGAAGCCCAGGAGAAAAGAGAGAGACCTGGGCCCCAGCAGTAATTAAAACAGATTGAGAGAAGCATGGAGGGACTGAAGCCCCCCAGGACAGTTGGATTTCAACACAAAGAGCCTGGCACAGACATGGAAACAATGGAAGCAAGAATTCAGTTTGTATTCAGAGTTAACCATGGCTGGTAGAGAAAAAGAAGGTAAAGCTGTTTTACTATCTAGTGGGGGGAAAGGCTGTGAAGTAAGTGCAGCACTGATGTCAGGGAACCCTGACACACTAAAACAGTTAATAAAAGCGTTTCATGCATACTGTGACCCCAGGAAAAATGAGACTGTAGAGAGAGATCAGTTTTTCACCCGAAACCAAGAGGAAGGAACAGTTTCACAGCCCTGAAAACTCTGGCATCCTCATTTAAGTTTGGAGACATAAAAGACTCCCTAATCAGGGATAGGATTGTATGGCACATGGGACTCTGCCCTGAGGGAGAGACTACTAAGAGAGGTAGATCTAACCCTGGAAAAATGTCACCAAATTGCAAGGGCAGCAGAATTGTCTAAACAAAGGATCAAAATGATATCAACAGCCACATGTACAAAGCAGGTTTACAGGCTCAGCCTAAAGGATTCTGGAAAGCAGGAACCTGACAGGCCAACTGCAAACACCAACAATATGCATTGTTGCATGTACTGTACTGTAGGAAGCTACAATAAAGGTGGAAGGACAAATGCCCAGTCTATGGAAAAGAGTCCAAAAAATGTGGAAAACAGAATAATTTCAGGGGTCAGTGTCGTAGCCATCCAAATAGAAAAAAAAAAAGTCCACACAGTGATGAGGGACCAGGAGACTATGGATGAGGAGGAAACTTTCAGTGTAAATTTGACAGATTCAAAGACTCATAGGATACACACATTACAGAAAAACGTGGACAACAACTCAGCCATATTTGCAACAATGATGCTAGACCAAAGACCTATAAGGTGGGTTGTGGAGCCACTTGCAATGTCCTTCCTGTGAATCTATTGAGTAGCAGCATCAGAATGGAAAAATGTCACCAAGTTCTGTTAATGTATAACAAAACAACTGTGAGGTCACTGGGAAAGTACCATCTGACTATAAGAAATCCATGCAAGAAGAAACAGTACTGCCTGGAATTTATAGTGATTGACAGGTGTCATATTGAATGAAATAGTTTGAATGTTTGTAAAGGTTGCCCATTAGCCAGTTTCAGGAAGAAGATAAGAATTATCTCCTTGTCTAGCTCATTGTTTTTGGGACTACGTGCAAAAGGTCCTGACTTCGCTTAAAGTCCTAATTTAAATTTTATCTTTAGAAGTCTTTTACAAAGAGAGCAAATATCCTGAGTTCCGAGAGATCAAACCCTAGGGCCTTTTGGAAAGATTGGTAAGAAAAGGGCATTTGCAGTGATATGGAAGTTTCCCAAAGGTAATTTCAAAAGAATCTGTTGAGTAAGATCCGAGCCCAAATTTGGGGGTAATGACAGGTTGAGTAGGAGGAGCCCATAGACGGC